TCGTTACATGCGCGCGAACTTGATGTATAATTTGCAAAATTTTGTGTTACTCACTCATTTATTGGAGGGCACTGTACGTTCACCACAAACCAGATCAAGGGATATTTTAATTTCTTAAATGAAAAAACTAATCGAAATTATTAGCAATACGAACACAAATCCGACACTCTCACACATACAAATAAAAAACGCTTGCTATGTAAATACTAATATAAATGGAATGTTTAATTTAACAAAGTTTTTAAATTTTTTGGGAATCACGTGACATGCGTCTCAAGATGAATCGCACATATCTTCCAGTGCGCTTCGCTTGAATTTTCAGTATAGCCACTTACAATGTCACAAATGTACCAAAGAGAACGTAGTTCTTCCTTATTTTTAGGTGGCGAACGGATTTCCGGCAACGAAGTTCGCAATCAAAATGGTATGTTTTAACAGAAACGCGCAAGCTCATTTCTTGGAATGTAAAAAAATTCTAACATCACGCGATCGAAGTCCTTGCCGCTATGTCTATTGCGAACATTGTAAAAAGTTCGCTTGGTCCTGTTGGGTTGGATAAAATGCTTGTCGACGATATAGGGGTAATTAAAGGTGTTTTTTGTTTATTCGTTTTTTTTTCTTCGCTAGTAAGGAGTGTGTATGTGTTCTGGCAGATCAACGTTGTCTGTGTTGCCTAGCGTTCTGATGGTCTGTCTGTTATTGTATATCTTTCTTACTGGGCATATAGGATGTGACTATTTCTAATGATGGTGCTACGATTTTGAATCTATTGGAAGTTGAACATCCAGCTGGCAGAATGCTGGTGGAGCTTGCTCAACAGCAAGATAAGGAAGTCGGTGATGGAACTACATCAGTCGTTATAATTGCTGCTGAATTACTTAAACGAGCGAATGAGTTGGTTAAGAACAAGATCCATCCAACTACAATTATTACGGGTTATCGGTTAGCCAGTAAAGAGGCTTGCAAATATATTGCTGATCATCTGACGACTCGCGTAGATGCGCTTGGGCGCGAGTGCCTCTTGAACGTAGCGAAGACAAGTATGTCCAGTAAGATTATTGGAACGTAAGTGTCATTGGCAGATATCGAACAGACAGGTGGTGAACTTGAGAATTCTTGTGATGTCTTGGAGTATTGTATTTACGATTATATTTAACGTACTGCAGCGACGACGATTTCTTTGCGAACGTTGTCGTCGATTCCTTGTTGGCAGTTAAATCTACCAACTCGCGCAATGAAACAAAATATCCTGTAAAATCTGTCAACATTCTTAAAGCTCATGGCAAGAGCACTCGTGAATCTATATGTGTTAAAGGTTATGCACTAAATTGCACAGTTGCATCGCAAGGTAGTTTTTGGCTTCATAAGGATTTGATCATTACCCTATGGTTAACCCGTATTTCTCTATACAGCAATGAAAACAAAAATTACCAACGCCAAAATAGCGTGTCTGGATATGAATCTTCAGAAAGCAAGAATGCCACTCGGTGTTCATGTTACTATCGATGATCCCGACAAACTAGAAGATATTCGCAAACGGTTAGTATCCATGCGCGCACATAATGATCATCCCTATATTGTGACCTAATACCGAAACTTGCATTATCTAGCGAAGCTACAATCACCTTGGAGAAAATTCAGAAAATATTGGCCTCTGGTGCTAATGTGATATTGACAACAAAAGGCATTGACGATCTTTGCTTGAAATCGTTTGTCGAAGCAGGAGCTATGGCAGTGAGACGTTGCAAAAAGGAGGATTTACGAAGAATTGCTAAGGCAACTGGAGGTAAGGCATGGTTGAACAATAAGGACTTGGATCATTGGTATAATCATGAAAATATCATTTGTCTGACACAAACATTTGTTAATAGCCACTTTGACATCAACACTTGCTAATCTCGAGGGAGAAGAAACATTCGAACCATCATATCTTGGTTTTGCCGAGGAAGTTGTCCAGGAACGCATTTCGGATGATGAATGCATAATCATAAAGGGGACCAAGGCACACAGTTCTGCTTCGATAATTCTACGAGGAGCCAACGATTATATGCTTGACGAAATGGAGAGAGCTTTGCATGATTCCCTGTCCGTGGTTAAAAGGACATTGGAGAGTGGTAAGGTTGTCCCAGGTGGTGGCGCTGTAGAGACTGCGCTCAGCATATACTTGGAAAACTTTGCTACAACTCTTGTAAGTTTCCGACGTAACATTTGGCGAATTATGTTCTACGTCTAACAAAGTAATTGTACGTTGTAGGGATCTCGCGAACAACTAGCAATAGCCGAATTCGCAAATGCGCTTCTCGTTATTCCAAAGACTTTGGCAGTTAATGCTGCTAAAGATTCAACAGAACTTGTTTCCAAGTTGCGAGCCTATCATAATATGGCCCAGAATGCACCACCAGATGACCCAAAGAGTCAACTTAGACACTATGGCCTTGACCTTCTCAAAGGAGAAATTCGGGATAATTTGAAGGCAGGAGTATTGGAGCCAGCAATGTCAAAAATTAAGTCACTGAAAGCCGCTACAGAAGCAGCTATTGCCATACTTCGTATCGATGATATGATTAAGGTATGTTTACTTAAATTACACTTATTTCAAAATTTACGCTGATAACGGACTAATTAACAAATGTTATTTAGGTTGAACCCGAACAGAGGGGGGGACCAGAAGATGAACATGGTCACTGAGTATAGCACGCCTACAATGATTATATATGGTATAATTGAACAAGTCATTTAATGCTAACAGACAAAAATGTGCGAGATATTCTTTACTATAAACTTACATTTGTTGTCAATGTGAACATTTCGAGCTTTAATTGATCAAATGCTTTTTTTTTTTAAAAAAAAAGATGTTGGTTGACTTTTTAATATCTTTTTATCGTTCGTGTGTTACGGTTGCCACAAGTTGAGCTATTTCTTTCAATTCATCTCCAAGACTCAGTAAGATACCTGCAATAATTATAGTATTCAATAGGTGATAAAACCAAAATATAAGAAGAACGTGCGCTCACCAGTATTTGAATCTGCATCAGCCACTAACGTAGTGATCAATGGGGAATGATTAAATTGAACAACCTGATAGAGTTCAAAGAAGCTCACTAGTGACTTGTTCCTTTTTAAGCCCAGTCTGGATGCTTGATCACTCACAGCTGCGAAAGTAGTTGACAGCATTGGCTCTAATACTTTTGGCGGCGTGCCGGAAGTACTTGCTACAATAATAGCAAATTACTATAAAACAGTCTTTGGTCAAACATGATGAGAGGCTAAAAATATACTACCTTGTATCAATACCACTCCATCACGATCCGTCATGGTTATTGCTTTCAGACGGTCAATTCTGTACAGTAGGAATTTCGTTATTACCAGAATCAAACATCAGCGGATGAGAATATTATCTTTTACCTTGCAATTAAGTTGTCAAAATACTTTTGTAATTCCTTATGACATCACAAGAACATAACTTATTATTGCCGTTAAAAAGTGACATGGTTTTCTACGAGTAGAAGACATCACGTATGAACAGTTATACCTCGCCCATGTCCGAAGCTTCATCCATTGTGGTGAGTTCGAAGTTGTCTGTGAAAGATCAACAGATAATCATGAACGATGCCAAATGCTCATCACAATAAGAATTTTAAAGTGTGAGAGTTTGCTCACGTGAATTACAGATCGACAAAGTGCAACCAATCAGACTTGACGTTCAACTAAATTCTCCGCATTGCAAAAATGACAAATGACAATCTCAGATCAGGAACTTGGAGGAAACGACAGAACGCTTGGAATGCTAAATATTGATATCATCAACAGTTCAAATATCAGCGTATATTATTAATTTATTTACCATTCAATGAAAGGTCAATTGGTAATGCCAAAGCGGAATCAGGATGTAAACATCCAATGACTAATGAATGGCTAACAAGTCGCAACTTTTCTGGTGTCACTATTGATGATTCCAATTAGATAGAACACATGGACATACTTAACCAATATGAATCAATCGTGTTCTATTAAGATACGGAAGATATATATAGTCCTTACTAACGAACTAAACGCTTGTTATACGCACTCGTGTTTATAATAGATAACAGCGCACGCGTAACCTTGATGGGTTAGACATACACTTTATTAAACAGTAACAACAATTAGCATTTAACGATTAACATCTTTTTGTCCCAGTTTCTTACGAAATTCTCTTAGCCTCTTCTTTTTTGAATATTTTCTTACATCAGCTTCTACGACATGATCCGGTCGGTATCTAGTAAACGAATAAAGTCAATATATTGCAACAATAAATAAACACGCATAATTACACGCAGGAGGATATTTGATACATACGGCGCATATTTCTTCAACGACACGTATTCATTAAGATCTTGGTCATCTGCAAGCAAAATCTCTTCTGCTGTGAGGCCAAAAGTGGAGGGTTTCGTTTGACAATATTTGAAACGAACAGGCATATCTCCGATCTAGCAGAAAAAAAACGGATGATTAAAATACAACGTATACTAAATTGAGACAGAAACATAATTAATAACGTATTTACTATGTCGTCATAATCCAGTTGATAATATTCATCGAGATATTCATCAAACTTTCTCTTTTCTTGCTTGGTAGGTTTATCTTTAGAATTCTGTTCAATACATTAATCAATGATGACAACACTTGCATTACGATTTTCTGTTCTGAAACAAATCGTCGACTATTACTAACCTCTGCTGAATAATATTCTTCATTAAATACTTTGTTCATTTTTTCATCATATTTCTCCGGATCAAAGTCTTCCTCTAAATCGACCTCGTCAAATCCGACATCTTCATTCCCCGTAATTTCCTTAATCTTGCGCAATTTTTCGTAAATCTCCTTTTTCTTGAGATTCTTCAATCTCTTTAGCTCTTCTGTTCTCTTAAGCTTTTCTTCTGATTTACGTTGTGCTTTGCTCTGTCTCTGAAGCTGTCGTTTGTTGTCCTTTCGCCTTATTGATCCCTCCACGTTACGCGAGTGAGTTACTATTTGTGAGCCTCCTTCTTCTTCAAATCGGAAGTTATATTTACTTTCGAACTCGTCTGCTCTCGCATCAAATTCCTCGTCCTCATCGTCACGATGGTCGGTTGTCAATTCTTCATAAGTGGGTATGCGATTAGCATCCTTGTCTATCCAACCTCTATTTAAAATATATTCCATTAAGAATTTCTCGTCATTTGAAATTGTTGGATTTGTCTTTACATTTTGCCATTGTTCTAAAATTTCCGTCGAGTTGGCAGATTGCTATTAGAATAATGAATACGCAAAACCTCAGACACAGATTATTTGAGATACAAGACAACATAGGAAAGTGTGCGTTCTTACTGCCACGGATTCAAGCAAAAATTTTCTGTATTCTTCCTCTTCAGCCGCTACTTCTTCTGCAGTCCTTTGCCTTTGCACCAACAAATCACCTTCATCGGCTTCAATACCACTATTTTCAACGGCTGCTTTAAATTCCGCTTTCAGCTGCTCCACTTCTTCTGCGTATGTTGGTAGCTTCCCTCTCTTATGCATCTTGGTGTTTTCATCATCATCAATTACGCCGCCATTTTTTAACAAAAGTTCTCGTTGGTAATCTGTAATTTTCATAGGTTTCGCTTCCGTCTGTTGGGAAGGATCCACGATATAGATTTAATATCAAGTCCTGCATTTCATGGCGAGGAAATCAAAGACAAACCTTTTTTCTCTGTCTCTTTTCTTCCCAGAGATTTCGAGCTTGCTCTATTTCACTGTCTGTTGCATTTACAATGTGTTTGATTTACGTTCAATTAGAACTTGTAAATCCCACAAAAAAAAATACCTGCAAAAAAACTATTATTTGAGTCGTAAACTTTTGGATCTTTGCTCCTTATTGCTGTTATCGTTTTCAGTATTTGAGCGTCAACTTCTGGAGTAACAAGTTCTCCATATTCGTCCTCCTCTTCGGAGGTTGAATCGTTTTCTTCGTCGCTAGCTAGATCACCATACTTTTCTTTAACTAAACAATCAAAAATAAAGCATGTTAATTTTTGACTGGGAGTTACAATTAAAGCAAATATTACGATGTACATACGTTTGGATAATTCTTCTCCTCGCTTACGCTCGTCGTATTTCCTTGCATAGCCCTCATTGACTCTCAGCTGCAGGCATTCGTCCTCTAACATATTGTAGGTCAGTAAAAAAAGAGAGAAATGTTTAATTACTATATTTCTAATTCTGCATATCGATTAATATGGTGTGATCTTCATACGCGCTCAGTAAATGTAATAGTTGGAGTCTAATCATTATGCGAACACCATTTCAATCTCGATTCACTTACAACAACGGTAGGAATAACAATAAGCATCATGCGAACAATATGAAACTATTTAATGTCATAATCTGATTCACTTACAACGATTGAAACATCGAATAGTTACGAACAAAAGTGGTTAGTGCTATATCAAATACAATATCTTGTTCACTTACCACGATAGACTCTAAGGTAACTTGTGACAATCTATTAAATAATCATCGCACGACTAATTAATAATTAAGAAATACCGTATAAGCACCCTTGATTAGTACTGGGTCTTATACTAGTTGCTTCTCGTCCATTCTGCTAAAGTATCCAGCTTAATCAGTTTATATATTATCCCCAATCTAAACTAATTATTCCCAACTATTGACAAAATCTGTCGTGTTTGCAAGGTAATAATCATTTTTGACCATATCTTTAACATTATCAACATTCGCGTTATCGACTGTATTTGCTTCCTCCTCCTCAACTATGACGTACTTCCCAGGACACTGTCACAAAGGTTAGACGTTCCCTTTAGCCTTCCAAATATTAACGCAGTCTCGAATTCAGGAACTGGTGGAGGACTCTGATGCAAAGGCCTGATACCTAGACGCTTAACAACTCCGTTTCTTCGATATACAATCTCGTAGTTGTTTAGGCTTAATACCAAATTTTGTTGCTGTTGCGCGTTTACTGTAACCTCTTCGTAATACATTATTGCAATTAAATTTCCATTAATGACCTACCTTTGGGGTTGTATTACATCTTTATTCTCACGCGTAGGCATACTTAGGAAAATGTCAAAGATAATTTAATACTAATACGACAATATGTATTGCACGAAAATTAACTACCAAAGTTGCTAATGCACACAGTACCCCGGATATTAGAACCAGTGCTACGCGGTATTTGCCGGCAATTGAATGGTTTTGACCACAATCCCAGATGATGTAATGTTGGGTGCCAGCTCATACAGCAAAAGTGAATAGGTTATACAGAAAAAATTACTACGCGAAAGCTTGGTTAAACAAAATAGCAAAGTCAGTGATAATGGCAAAACGGTGTAAAATACTTTTCTCGCACCGACGAGTCTAACTCGGATTGTGAACACTAATTAATTATTCTCGACCATTCTCTACCGCTGGATTACGTCGGTAGTCGATCGTTGGGGTTTAATAAGAAAGGTAACGCGTTGAGAAAATAATAATTAGTTATGTACCACTCGGTCAATAATTAATAATCGCAGAACAAGTATTACGATCGACCCTTCCGGTTATACGAATTAATGCTTTAAGAATATGACGGACTATTCAAGAAAAAAATATTATAGTTCAGAATAAATGGCTACTCGTTTATTCGTAAAACGTCTTCAATAAATATTCTTTCTAAGTCTACGTTACATCTTTCTCTTTCTATTCACTAATTGATCTCTTTTAGCATCATAATAGAATCTATTGTAATAAATTAATATATTATTTTATTATTCTGCTTGCGCTATTGGACGATCTTCGAAATGTTGATACGTCACCTTAACTTTACAATCACCAGTGACGCATGCAAGGTGTGGGCAAACATAAACAGTCACATGTATATTAAATAGTAATAGTCAAACTACTGTATCCCTTATTGAAGCAAATTTGCCTCCAAGTTGGGTGATAATGATGTGGAAGCGTTGAGGGGGAGGTAAATACCCCAACATAAGAATCGTAGCTGTCATCACCATCAAAAAATTTACGGCAGTGGGTGAAAACATAGGAGCAAAGTTTAATTTTTACTAAATTTATGTTAGACTCAAATCTTACGTGTCCGTAAATTTTTGATCCGCACTCCATCAAAGAATGCCTTGTACAAATACATTCAGAATTTGTGAATGCACGCAAGGAGAATTTCCCAAATCTTGCCAGTGGTCATGATGAAAACCTTTGGAATATCTCGTTCCATTACTTTATTTTGAATAGTGTTGGTAAATTATTCTCAACGCTACAACGATTACCTGGTCAAATCGCTTTTTCGATGTATCACCGTTCACATAATCTGAATAATACTCTACGTGCATGAAAAACGCCGCGGCGGCTGTACAAGCCTTCGAGCGATGTCACTAGCCAATTCAATTCAAGAAGCCTGCTTGAATGTCACAATGTCGGTTCGTTCGGTCCTAAAAATAAGAATTATGAAAAAATGAGTGAACGAATCCTCGCGTCAAGGACCAAAGAAGAACGTTCACAACAGACGTAAAGTACGCAAGCTGCGGCCACGATGCGCTTTCAATTCTTTGGTCCATGTACCCTATTCACCACTCGGAATAATTTTTTTTGGTCGAAAAAAAGGAGTTAGTATTGTAAGTTCTCTCTTCTTATTTTTCCCTAAACAATATCAATGGGTAATTTATAGCAAGTATGCTAAAAGCCAATTTTTCTTCAACAAAGTTACAATACTGTAGACATTCACCCAGTAACATCAATGGACATAAGTGAGCAGAAGTTTATTATATACCACATTGCACC